GGCAAAATGGCAGCTTGAGCTCCAACATTCTGGTTCCGGGTAGGAAAAAGGGAACAACAAAGGAAGGAATCCTGTACATTAGCTAACCAGCCTCCTTCTAGAGCTTTCCACCAAGGCCTGTTCAGTGACTGTTTGCAGTCATTCACCATCTCTCTCCCTAAAGGAGTAGGTGAAAATGTAGATTTCTTTTTCAAGCTAGATGCATTGTGACTCACTTAAAATCAGAATTTTGTTAATAAAGAAAAATAAAATGGTCATTAGTTAGGTTATTAGTACCTGGCAGATGGTTTGCTTAATTTCATTAAAGTATTCTAAGTTCTTACCCAAGTTTATAATTTTTTAAGGACTTTCCACTTTCATTTTATTGAATATTTGATGAAAATATAGCAATATTTAAAATTTTTATTGTATTTAGCACGCACGCATATACACGTGTGCGAGTGTGTGTGTGCATATGTGTGTGTGTGTGTGTATGTGTATGTGTGTACACATGCCATGAAATGCATGAGGAGGTTAGAAGACAATTTATGGAACTCACAAATCATTTATAGGAGACATCAAAAAATGTAAATGTCTCCCCCTGAGCCAAGTTTTGCATTGTGGTGTGTCTTCTCCCAGACTTTTGTTGTTATTGGGTATGGTTGATGACATCTGAGGACAGCTTTGTGTCCTGTTTCATTTCCTTATGGTTGATGACATCTGAGGGCAGCTTTGTGTCCTGTTTCATTTCCTTAATGCATCATAACTATTTTCTCATGTCATTAAGCCCACATCATTAGCACACACTTCAATGGCTGTGCAACACAGAGTTTGCAATTTCGACTATACAATCCAAGGATTCCACAGAAAGAAATAACTTATTTTCAAATGTATTTATTTACCTTCTGTGTGTATGTATGTTTGTGTATGTATGCATGCATATATGTATGTAATGTGGACTCACATGTGCATGCCATGACGTGCATGTGAAGGTCAAATGGCCACTTGTAGAGCCAATCTACTCCTTCTATTACAGAGGTCCAGTGATCAAACTCAGATCTCCTGGCTTGATAAGGCATATTTACCTGCCCAGCCATCTCACTAGCCAAAGAAATAACTCATTATATGTCAGAAAAAATGTTTTAAACTTCTGTTGAAACAGTTTCACCATGTAGCTCAGGCTGACCTGGAACTTGTTATGTGTCCCCTGGTGACTTAAAAGCATGATCTTCCTGCCTCAGGCTCTGGACAACTGGCCAAAGTATTAAATTTCTTAAAAAAAAAAATTAGTGTATTTGGGTAGTTGAGAAACTTTAGTGAGGAAGAACAACATTCTGAAATTCTAAGATTTTTAGACCCCAGATGTTGGGAAAAGGATGTGGGTTGACGACTGGGGTGAAGTTCTCTGCTCCCAGATTTGTAAGGTAAACACACCATCTGCTACCCCACCAATGGAGAAGCCCCCATGGGCAGTGTTGATCTTACAAGAAAACTGTGGGTTGTAGATTCAATTTTTAAAGTGGCAATCTATTTCTATCCCAGCTAGTTTCCAAATAAATGAGATGGAGACTCTAAGATATATATAATCATGCTTTATGGCACAGTAATTGGGAAGTTAATAATCTATTCTAATCCTCTGGGCTAATCTGGCTACCTCCTAGCCAAAACCCTCAAGATACTTGCATTTTAGTATTGGTCTGGCTCTCTGGACTTCAGGTATTTTTCTACAGTGTCTCTCAGGACTCCTCCCACTCCCTCTCTGTCTCCCTCCCCTGGCTGGTGGAAACCCAGCTCTATTCTCTCCTCAGCCATTGGCTGATGAGCTTTTATTGACAAGTCAGAGAATAAATGGGGAGCAATGTTTACACAAACAGAGTAAATTTGTGTAGAATAGAGGATAAAATTAAGAAATACCCTAACATATATCTGAGTCTTCTGTCCTTTCTGTGTTGTAGGTGAGGTTGGTGATTGGAAAACTTTGTTCAACCAAACACAGAACCAGGAAATGGATGAAAGATTCAAAGAGTGTTTGGCAGGCACTTCCCTCGGAGACAAGCTGAAGTATGAATCATATTGCCTGGCTTAATTCTGGCCAAGCTGGCTGGCCTACATATCTTCTTCTCCCTAATAATAACTGGATTTATATAATTAGATGGTATTGCAGTCAAACAGTCGCAAGACAATAATCATGTAACATAATTATGAATAGTGCAGATCTAGGAATGGTGGTAATAGGTAACATTTTTTAGCAGAAATTAAAGTTTTTCTTTTGAAGAATTGGAACATTGCTGTCAATGTGTTGTTCTAGGGTTGAACACAGACAAAAGTGGGCTTCCGAATGCTGTATACACATTTTCTTAAGCTTTTCTCACTAGGAAACTTCTCCCTACGAATCCAAGTACTTGTAGAAGTTATCTCAGACTTCCTGGTGGGTGAACTTGATGCCTGACTCTGCACAGATACAAGGTTAACAAACTGCAAGTTGATTCAAGATAAATTCCTTTTCGTCTATTCCGGGTATGCCATGCATGCCTGCCTCTGGAGGTGCTTCCCTCAAGAGACATCATACTTCTACTTATACAATCTTTTAGTCAAATCTAAAATGTATGCTTTTGTACCATACAGATCTTTCTGTTGCAGGGTCATAAGCAGTCATGTAAAACTAACAGGAGAATGTAGAGAATATTCTAGAAAGATTATCCTATCTGGTGCTTCTCAATCATCCTACCACTTAAGAGGAAGAGGCAGGAGGCTCACTACAAGTGTGAAGTCAGCCTAGTTTTAAAAGTTCTAGACCAGTTATGCCTTCAATCAGACCTTGACTCCAACCATCAAGCAAAGCAACAGGAAAACACCTGCTGGCCTGCTCAGTTGATGTTGTGGATAGCCCTGGTCTTATATTTTTATGTTAATTCCACTTTCCTGGGAGGGGCTGCAGATGAGGATCAGTGCACAGTACACAGGTGACTTCTTGTGAACCTTCTGCCCACCTTAATTTGTAAAATAAAGGCTAGAGCGGGTGATTGGTCAGTAGAAAGGAGGTGGAGCAGAAAGGGTTTGGGAGAGAGAGGAAGTGGTGGGAGGCCGATGGAGGAGATGATGGAGCGGTGATGGGTGTGGCCTGGGAAAACCTCAAGTTATGAGGGATCTCATAGATGGGGAATAAAGTAGTGTAGTGGTAAATCTGCCCAATCTAGGTGTGCAGTTTGTGTTCATAATTATTGAGTTGTGTTTTCTTTGACCAGTCCTATTTGGGTTGGAGATTTACCTCAACAGGTTGGTAGTGTTTGCTTCCCATGGTTCCCTCCCCAACACTACAGTGGCCAGGCATTGTGGTACAGATCTTGGAGGTGAAGACAGGAAAACTGCAAGTTCATGGTCACTTTTAGCTACATTACAAATTTGAAGCCAGCCTTTACTACATGCCAATCTCAAAACAAAACACTCACCAACTCATGGAGAATATTGAGAGTAGATGAATGCATTAACTTGTTCACTCACTCCCTAACTATAGCCTCCAGGAAGATCCAAAGGTACCTTTTTCAGTGGCTAACACTTCAGCCAGATGTTCCGAGACGCTGGAGAAATGGCAGTGATAACGGAATCTTTGGAAATGCCAAGAGTAAACCACCTAGAGTGGAATAGGTGGGGTGAGCAGATTGCTATCCGTTGTGATGTTCAGTAATGTCTGCAGAGATCGCACTGTCAACTTCTCCCTGGGTAGTCGAGTGCTCATTTAAGGAACTACGGTGGAGAGTGGGAGTTTACCAATGCTGATCTGGTCACTGGGGCTTCACATTAGATACCTCAAATTTTACCCAGGATCCATGCTACAAGGAAAGTATAGACTTAGACTCTTTTTCTCCTACCTTACAGGAAAGGAAGAAGAAAGGTATGGGCATGGGCAATGTTGCCTGTGTATTTGGGGGTCTGTCTTGGGATTTTTCCATCTCTTACCACCTGAGATGTTGGGAGTACAGTTTCCTGGTTCTAATTCTAGCTCCTGAGTTCTCCTCATAGGGATGGTGCTTAACTCAGGTTGTGGGCATGGAGATGTATCACTGAACAGTGTGCCACAAGCTAAACCCTTAAGTCCTGTGCCAGCAAGTTTGATTCTGGGTGTGTGTTACAGTCTTACAGAAAGGTGGGGTTCCTTTTCTTTTTTAAAATTTATTTATTTATTTACTTATTTATTTATTTATTTATTTATTCTGTGTACTCATACACTGCAGCTGTCTTCAGACACACCAGCAGAAGGCATTGGATCCCATTACAGATGGTTGTGAGCCACCTTGTGGTTGCTGGGAATTGAACTCAGGACCTCTGGAAGAGCAGCAGTCAGTGCTCTTAACAACCAACAGAGCCATCTTTCTAGCCCAGGCAGGATTCCTTATTAACCAGGGACTGCTGGTGTTGCCTTGTGATAAAATATTTCTTGTGGCTCCTCTGGGAGCAGGTAGATCTTAACAAGGGCCTGGCCTGGTGGATGGTATGCAACAAGGGGCTAGCAGGTACCTGCTAAGGGCTGGGCAAATTGAAGAGAGACTCCTCCAACCCTCTGGCCAATTTTGTCAAGAAGGCTATGACCTCCTTGACACGGGAGTGCGAAAAGGGAAGGAGACTAATGTTTACAAATCTAGACTTGTCATAGACAAAGCCTGGCAGGACCCTCTGCGAGTTACTCAGTATCTCTCACTGAACACTGGAATTCGATAGCGTCCATGTGCCCAGTTGCATCCTAAACGTTTGTTTTGAAAAGTAGATTGTGGTCATTGATCCGGGAGCTTATTAAGCACCGCGAGCAGGAGACTTGGGTTTCTCCTTCCTCTTCCAGCAGAGCTTTCCCAACATGGGAGCCAGGAAAAGTCCGGAAACCTGGAGAAGCTGGTGGTTACGGTAGTTGCGCGGGAGAGGGGAGGCGGCCCCGGACCTTGGCTCCCGCGCTCGGGTACCGAGGCGACACGCCCATCTGACTTCTCTGCGAGCTCTGTGCGGGGAGGAGCAGAGAGCAGCGCGGGAAGGCGGAGTCCGCCGGGAAAACGAAACAGAGAGAACCGGCCTGGCCTGGACTTCCACCGACAGTAGCGGCGACAGTGATCGGAGGGCGACGAGATTTCAGAGCCAGGACCTGAAATTCGAAGCACAATTCGAATCCTGCACCAGGGCGCGGGCCACTCTCCGGATCCAGAAACTCGGTAAGACCTGAGGGCTATTTTCCCACTCCTGGATAGCAGCTGCAGGAAAAGGGACCCAGAAGGAAAATGACAAGCCTGGTGACTTGAAACTCTGGAGGGAAATCTAGAAGCCTGAATGACCCAGGGACTGAATTCTGGGCCAAGACTTTGTGCTGCACAGTTATGGCATTCCAATTAGCGGTCCTCTGTGACAGCCGGGTCCTACACCATCCTCCACCCGGATTCTTCTCCATGCACTTGAGTTTCCCTCAAGTCTGAACCCGAGGCTTGCTTTCCTGTTCTGACCTCCCTCACACCAGCCTCTAGGGTCAGGCAAACCCCCCAGCACCCACTTCTTTCAGACTTACTTGGTGCTTCTGGGCACAGCCAAGTACCCTCCAACTCCTGGGCCTTGATGCTGCCTGTTTCTACTTCCTGGAAAGCCCTTCCCCCCAAGTGACTTCCTGGGCCGATCTCTCTGTCTATCCAGTCCTTCTCACAGAGCCAATTATATGAGTAGCCTTCCCTAAGCTCCACTCTGCCCTCGCAGCCCGCCCCGTATTTTTTTTTTTTTTTAATTTTCCAACTAGTACTTAGTACCAGAATTTGTCTTTTTCCCTCTGCCAGTAAGATCCCAAGAGCGGTTTTCATTGAATCGAATACAACAAGCACCTAATCCCTGACAGGTGCTCATTACATGTATGTTAAATGGATGGCAATTCATAAATAACCTTGAGTTCTAGAGAAACGAGATTCCCTGTTGCACCTATAGTACTAACAGTGCCTTGCCTCCTAGAAGTTAAAGATACTCTCCAGGCTAGAGGCCAGGACCTTAGACTCTTGTGCAGACTGTGCTCTTGTCCTTCAGCTTGCCCTGTGAACCTGGAGGGCCCAAACACTGCCGCTGGCTCCTTTAAGTATCACACACTAGTTAAATGTATGTTGCATGGGAAGCAGATGCTGGAAGGGGCTCAGCCGTGTAGGGCCCTCCAGTCTTGGGAAGGAGAGAGACCAGGGTCTTCAGGATACAGATGAGACAGACAGGCGGCATTTGTTGGTTTGTGTGCTGGACTGCTCTTTGGGTGAGCGACTGAGAGCTGGGAACTGTTTCCTTGTGAGAGCACTGATTCCTCAGTCCTACCTGTTGTGAGGTAGAGTGATTGCCCCTGCAGCATCACAGCAGGTCATCCCATCCTGAGAGGTGAATAAAATTGCCCCATAGACAGAGAGTTCCACTCCTGGGAGCATGGATGGGGAGGTACCTTGGCAGTCATTCACCGATGGACTCATTCACTTGTACCAAGCCCTTATTATAATTCTGGTACCTTCCTTCCCTTTTCAGTTACAACTGTTATAGTTTAAAGAATCTATAGGGGCTGGAGAGATAGCTCAGCAGTTAAAAGCACTGACTGCTCTTCCAGAGGTCCTGAGTTCAATTCCCAGCCACCACATGGTGGCTAACAACCATCTGTAATGGGATCCGATGCCCTCTTCTGGTGTGTACGAAGAGAGTGACAGTGTATTCATATACATAAAAAATAAATAAATCTTTTTTAAAAAGGAATTTATTTACTTTTTATTACTTATCTTTGTATGTGTGTATGGGTATGTGCATAGGAATGCAATTCCCTTGGAGTCCAGGGAAGGTGCCAGATCTCCAGAAGGTAGAATTACAAAGAGGTTTGACCTGCCTGCCATTGGCGCTGAGAACCAAACTTGGATTCTCTGGAAGAGCAGCGGTGCTCTTGACTGCTGGGTCGTCTTTCCAGCTGTACATTTACTTATTTAGTTTTATATTTTTCCATTGTGTGTGTGTGTGTGTGTGTGTGTGTGTGTGTGTGTACATGTGCTTCAGGGAACCTGTCAAGGTCAGGACAACTATGTGGAAGTTGGTTCTCCTTCTACTATGTAGGTCCCAGAGATTGAACTCAGATGGTCAGTCTTTGCAGCAAGCTCCCTTATCTGCTGATCCATCTAGCCAACCCTGGTGCAAACCATCACTGTGTAGGTAGAATGTAAAGTCACAGCCTAGAGGTGATCACTGGGAGAGAAGGTAACTACAGGATAGGAAGAGACTTGAGGACAGGGCCCCTGGACAATATTTAGATGAAAAGAAGATGAAGAGGAACCAGGGAAGAAGGCAGAGAAGGCACAGCTTCTGAGATCAGGGGAAACCCACAGAACAGGTGTCTCAGAGCCCTAAGCTAAGGGGGTGTGGGTGGAGTTCAGGTGGGAACAAGTGACTGAAATTAAACTATTGGATTTGACAATGAATGAGTCCCTGGGACTCTCCCAAGAGGAGTCTTGATGGCTTATAGAGGCTCCAGGATCAGAATGATGCTTTTAAAACAGTGGTCCTCAACCTTCCCCATGCTGTGACCCTTTAACACCCGAATGTTGTGGTGACTTCAGTCATATTATTTTGATGCTACTTCATAACTGTAATTTTGTTGTTATGAATTATAATGTCAATATATGATATGCGACCTCTGTGAAAGGGGTCACAGCCCACAGGTTGAGAACCACTGCTTTAAACACCTCGCAGTGTGAAGAATCTTGTTTAAAATTTAAAAAGTAAAGTTACATTTCCTGTGGCATAGAGGATCAAACTTGGGGCTTTGTGTATGCTACACAAGCCCTGTGCCAAAGAAGCTGTCTCCAAACCCACTAAGCCTAATGTCTTAAATTTTCCAATTCATTTTTAAACAGAAACATAGAAACAAAAATTTTCAGATTAGGCATTAGGTGATATTTTGATAATAAGTATACATTGTATAATGTTAAATCAGGTCTAATGTATCTATTCCCAGAAACATTTTCCTTCCTTTCTCCTGGGGAACATTTCACCTCTTTGTTTGGCCACTGCTGTGTGTTCATTGGAGAAATAGTACTCAAGTTCTTTGCCTATTTTCTAAATAGGGGTGCGTATGTGTATGTGTGTATTGTGTAAATGTACATAGTCATGTGTACTTTTAATTTTTCAAAACCTATTTTTAATGATGGCTCTTAAACATTTTAAACTTTCTTTTAGCCCATCACTCACCAGAAGTAGTGGGAAAGAAAGAATCCTGGGGAAGTGGATCTGTTTAGAAAGGTTCTTTGGAGTAACTTTTGTCTGTTTTGTCTGGAAATCAGCACTTCAGTTCACAGGTCAGCAGTGGCAGCTCGATCCACTAGCAAATACTTCATGGATATAACAGCAGTCCAGTTCAGTAGAGTCAGGATAGCAAACACGAATCAGCAATGGTGGCAGTACCTAGCAAAGAACACCAGGCCTCAGCCTCAGCACAAGTCAGCAGGGGGGATCAGAAGGGACACCAGGAGAAGTTCTCTGCTGTGCCTCGATCAGGGAAGTGAAGATCAAGGAAGACACAACACCTACAGACCCTGTCCATTGAGTTCTATTTCCCTCCAAACATTACGTGTATACATTGTCTACCAGTCTTGCCTCAGGGTGTGTGTCTGATGTCACTCTGCCTATCAACCCAAGTCTGTGGAAGTGACTAGAAACTGTAACACACCATCAGAAGTTTTTTGGTGTGTTTCTCTCTATGGAGTCCTGACAATGTGTAGCTTGACTACACATGTAAGGCAGACCAATGCATGTGTGTTGTTAGCAGAGAATCTTATGTGTCTTTTCACGTTTGTTTTAATAGAACATCTTTTTACCTGTGTCCACTTCAGCTAAATGTTCCTTCATGTGTTTGCCCCAACAAAGGACTATTCAACCAACTTTCCAAAGAACCCTTAAGTTTCCACTTCAACCATATGTATACATAGTTGTGTGTGTTTATGTGTGCACGTGTGTATATGTAGTCATGTGTGCATATGTGTGTGTGTATAATATATGGCATTATATGTATATATAGCCTTGTTTGGACCAGAAAAGCTGTCATTCTACTCCTGTACTCTTTACACTTCCTCAGGCAGGTGGACAGACTAGAACATCTCACTTCTTGGAAGGCAGGAGTAGAAGGGGCAGGGCCAGGAGTTTTTGAAAGTAGGTAGTCTAGGAGGGGAGGAAGAAAGATTTTGACATAAAGTTTTCTGTAACTTCATGTAGAGAAGAGCCTGTCTCCTGTGATCTCCTATGGTGGGTTGGAAACACCAGATCTGATGTCGTCTGTCAGTGTCACATATGTAGGCGCCTCTTCCTTTGCAGGTCACTGGGAGGAAAAATGGCCAGTGATACACCAGGTTTCTATATGGACAAACTTAATAAATACCGCCAGAAGAACGGAGTAACCATTACGTATAAAGAACTTGGTACTACAGGACCTCCACACGACAGAAGGTAGGCTGCCGTTAGGAAAGGTGTGGTTAGGGCCAGGGAGATGACTCAGGCGGTAGGAGTTCTTACTGTGTAAGTGTAAAGCCCTGTGTTGGAATCCCTAGCACCCACCTAAAAAGCTGAGTGTGCCTAAGCACATCCCTGTAAATCCAGCATTGGGTAGGGCAGAGACAGGAGGATGGCTGGAGCTTTCTGGCTACCAGCCTAGCTCTAAGTTCAGTGAGGGACCCTGTCTTAAGGGAATAAGGCAGAGAGTGATAGGATCACCTGGAATCCTTCTCTGATCTCTGGGTGCACATGGGCTATTCACTCCCCTAGCATGTGCATACATCACATACAATCTACTGAACAAAAACTTAAAATGATGGAAAGAACATATGACCCAGGAAATGGAGGTATAGCTCAGGAGTAGTGCATGTGCTTAGAATACACATGTCCCGAGTTCAATTCCAGGTACCTAGTAAAACAAGCAGACAATAAACAGCCAGTCCCTGTAAGTGTAAAGTAGAAGAGACAGCTCCGGTGCAATTCGGATGTTGGTACTTCAGCTCCATAGTGAAGCTGCCAGAGTCCTGTGAGAATCCTTGAGACAGAGCGTGGTAACCTCAAAAGCCTGAAGAAGAAAGATGGAGGCCAGAGCAATGACTTAGTGAGTAAACACATTTGCAGCCAAGCCTAGGGACCTGAGTTTTTCTCTGGAACCCACATGGTGGAAGGAGGGACTAGATTTCCAAAAGTTGTCCTCGGACTTCCAACATGCATGTCCTATCATGAGTATACAGGCAAACCATGCGACATATACTCCAACCCACCCCCACACCAAATAAATACATATACACACATATAAACATACATACAAACATACATACAAACATACATACATACATACATACATACATACATACATACATACATAGAAATAAACTAAGCATGGGAGCTCATGCTTATAATCCTAGCACTTAGGCAGCAGAGGCAGGAAGGTTGTTGTGAGTTTGAGGCCAGCCTAGGTTGTACAGTAAGACACTGTCTCTAAATAAGTAAATAAATAACAAGAAGAGTCAAGAAAAGAAAAAAAAGGAAGAAAAAAAGTACATTCTTCTCCCTGCCCTAAGAAGATATTGTTATTGAGGGTAGGTGCTTAAAGTCTGTAGTGAGCGTGGGACTCCTGAATGGCACTTGTGGGGTGGTGGTAACTGGAGTGCTTGTCCTTAGCTAACTCACAGCTGTGTAATGTGTTGCAAATACTGTCTTTTTTTTTCTTTTTTATCATTTATTGTCACAAAGATTATAAAATTAAACAATATTGTATGGTCCTTGCCTATTTGTTTCTTTTTTTCTTCTTTTTTATTACAAATACTACAAATACTGTCTTTTTAACCAGGTTTACCTTTCAAGTTATAATAGACGAGAAGAAATTTCCAGAAGCTGAAGGTAGATCAAAGCAGGAGGCAAAAAATGCGGCTGCCAAATTAGCTGTCGATATACTTACTAGCGAAAACAAGGTGAGTAGTAGCATTTCCCTTTAGTCAAAGGGAATCTGTGTGTGTGTGTGTGTCTATATGTGTCTCTGTGTGTGTGTCTGTGTGTGTGTTTTCTCTCAGGGAGAAATTACACATGTCAGTGTATGACCATTCGTTCGTTCAAAGTTTTACTTCTTTTTTTTTTCCTATCTCCATTTCTCCCGAGTGAGAAATACACCAGGAAATTTGTTGACAAAGCCATGTACTTCTGAGCACCCACTTACATGCTCTGAAGCATGAGGAAAAATGAGACTGCTTTATAGGAGATGGGCTGGGCTGGCAAGGGTTAGGAAGTGAACAAAACAGAGAAAGTCGTGCAAGACCTGGTTGGGAGAATGATTCTCCTTGAGGGAGATTACAGAGAGCCAACACAGGAGACATCGAATCCCTGAAGATGAAAACAGGGTAAATGGCACATAAACCAAGAGCAGCAAAACAGATCTGTTTGGTCTCTGGGAGAGCTGTACAGTTCTGTGTGCTTAGCATGCACAAGACCCTGGGTCCAATTCTCTAACATTGAATAAACAAAACTATCTGAAGATATCTGAGCAGAAATTTTTTACAAAGCAAAGACATGATAGTAGATTAGATTAACTTTATCGATCCAGGAAAATTCAGAAATACCAAGACCAACACTGATTGGCGAGAAGATGAAGGCAGGGAGCGGAACCCATGGAGGCAGATGATAAAAAGTTTATGTTTTCTACGACAATGTCAAAACCAGGAGGCTGGAGCAGTGGCTGCAAAATGAGACATAAAGCGATTCGTGCATGAGACGAGAAAGTTCTACCTTCTGGCGTACTCACGGATAATCTTGCTCGAAATGCCATTCTTAAAATCAATTCGAAAGTAACTGAGCGAAACCACTAATTCTCCTATTAGTAAGCTAAAAAAAAATTATTTAAAAGGTTAGATAAATAGGGTACCTTTCCTCTCTCAGAGTCGGAGAAAGACAATAATAACAACGGTGGAAATGTGTGTAAAAGAAAACAAATAATAATAAAAGTCAATGAAGCAAATTACCAAACCTAGTTCTTTGGTAAGAGTAATGAAAGAAAAACTTTGGACCAACCCTGATGTGATGGAAGCAGTGAAGGCTGAGATCGTAATCATGCTGCTTCTGCAGGCATCTTTCCCATCACTGTGGACCATCACAGAGAATTCCTTGTGGGCTCAGCATGCTCGAAAGTGTTAAAATACTTTTCTCATGGAAGAAGGAGGATGTGTAGCTAGAACGGGCTCAGATGTCCACTGCATACACTGCTCTTCCTGAGCACTAGAGTTAGGTTCCCAGCATGCTGGGGGCTCTCACCAAGCACCTGTAACTAGCTCCGAGGAATCCCAATGCTCTTCTGGCCTCCTCGGGCACCCCTATGCTTGCCTGCAGGCACACACATATACATACATTTTAAAATAAATAAAAGGTAATAAAATAAAGCTTTAGCCCAATTTGTTCTGTTTTGGTAAGGCAGTCTGGCCTCAAACTCTCTGTGTAGCTCAGGCTGGCTTCAGGTTGTGTAGCTCAGGTTGGCCCCAGGCTTTCTGTGTAGCTTGGGCTGGCCTCAGGTTCACTATGTGTCTCAAGCTGGCCTTGATCATTTTGCCTGACTCCCAAGGGCTGGGATAACAGATTGTTCACCTGGCTTTTCTTTGTTTGTTTATTTGTTTTGTTTTTGTTTTGTTTTGTGTTTTGAGACAGGGTTTCTCTATATATCCCTGGCTGTCCTGGAACTCACTCTGTAGACCAGGTTGGTCTCAAACCCAGAAATCCACCTGCCTCTGCCTCCCAAGTGCTAGGATTAAAGGCGTGCGCCACCACTGCCCAGCCTGCACCTGGCTTTTCTTAATGAAATTATAAAAGGAAACTGAGTGACTTAACAAATTGCCTATTTATAAATGGCTTGGGAAGTGTATTTTAAGTGTCCATGCCATTCCCCCCCCCAAAAAAAAGGAAGAAAAAGAAGAAGAGGAAGGAGGAGGAGGAGGAGGGAAAGGAGGAAGAAGAAGAGGAGGAAGAAGAAGAGAAGGAAATAGAGAAGGAGGAGGTAGAGGAGGAAGAAGAGGAGGAGAAGGAGGAGAAGGAGGAGAAGGAGGAGGAGAAGGAGGAGGAAGAGGAAGAGGAGGAGGAGGAGGAGAAGAAGAAGAAGAAGAAGAGGAGGAGGAGGAGGAGGAGTGTGTAAGGCAGAATATACAACAATTATCTGAATTCAGCCATTGTGCAGCATATGCATATTTCAAAACCATGTTATATACCAAAATATATGTATTTTTAATATTCTATTTAGGATTTTTGAGTTAAAAAATTTATTTTTGCAGATTTTTTTAACTAATAGACATACAGTTCACTTTTAGTAAGAACCTATAACTGGGAAATCCATAGCATGTAAGTTGCCTTTCATGTTACTTATTTAGTGATCTCATATGATAACTCATGACTTGTATTAAGCACTTCTTTTTTTTCTTCGTAGGTGGATAGTCAGGCGGACGCTTCTGAACAAGGCTCATTCGTTGGGAATTACATAGGCCTTGTCAATAGTTTTGCCCAGAAGGAAAAGCTGCCTGTAAATTATGAACAGTGTGACTCTGGTCCTCTGTTCTCTCAAAGGTGAGACATCTACTGTTTCACTGTATGTGATCAAAGATACTGAGGCATTTCGTATGTAGTTTCCCGGAAATATTTGCCCCCTTTTTATACATCCATTATGGAGATTTATAAATATCTCTTTAACTAAAATACCCAGTTCCTGGGGTAAGAGAAAGTGGTTCCTCTTTCCGTCTCCCTGCTGGAGAGTATGAACTCCGCTCAGGCAGAAGAAACATGAGGGCACCAGGCTACATTCCATCTTCTCTGCCATCGTGATGCTGGGGTGTCAGAACACAGCCAAAGATGGGGCCCCCGGCTTAAGTGAGATATGGCACAGACTGAGACTGAGGCTGAGGCTGAGAAAGCAGGGATTCTCAAACTCCCTGGTGTCCAGTGGCTGCTTAGCTCAGGGGAGTGTCTACATCCAGAGGGCAAAGGGTTCTTCTGTGGGAGACTTAGGCTACCAGGCTCCCCCTTCCATCACCAGTTCTTGATGAGAGACACAGTCTTTGCTTGTCTGAGCTGATAATTCATTGTTCATTGTGGAAAATGGGGGCATACGACTTACTCAGGGTGGACCAGAGATTATTAAATACCTTTTGCAGGAAGGAATGTCCAGGAAGGGAAGCTTATTGGCTAAGCCCTTGGGGCAGGCTCATCTAGATACTTCATTAGCATGGAGAACTCTATGTTCTATGCTACGGAACAAGTGTTCTCCATCTTCATGTCGGGTATTGTGGTCACGAGTTCGAGGACAGGAATGGAGTTGGGAGTAGATGAAATGTCTACCATTCTACCGGTGTTTCTCAACCTTCCCAGTTTTTGTCTGGTGACACAGTTCTGCTTACCCTACAGGAGAGATGGCTCAGCTGTTAAAAAGCACTGCTCTTCCAAAAGGACCCAGGTTCAATCCCCAGCACCCACATGGCAGCTTACAACTGTCTGTAACTCTTAAGAACTGACGCTTTCACACAGAAATGCATGCTGGCAAAACACCAATGCACATACAATTAAAAATAAATTTGAAAATTAAAAAAAAAATATTCCTGAGGCTGTGGGGCCTATTGCAAATCCAATTTGGCTGGTTTACTTTCTAAAAGTTCATTACCTTTGGCCAACCAGATGGTGAGCTTGGTGTAGAAAGCTGTTTTGAGAGGAAGATCACTTTCGCAAACCTAGAAGTAGGGCACACTACACTAACCGTTCTGTTTGATTATTGACTGTTAACCTTTTACTATGCACAGGTTATGAGGTAAACTTTATCATAGGAATGTATAGGCAGCACAATGTGTATTTCTAGGGTTTGATATAATCCATGGGTTCAGTCATCCACCAGCCCCCTGTCGATAAGAGGGGACTGCTGTGTTTTTGAGGTGCATTTGAACAATCAGTCGGCTAAACTTTTAAAAGCGTTCAGGAGGAGGGATGCAGGAGGGATGCAGAGTTCTTCCCTTGCTGAGGCCACGGCAGCTGTAACTGTGAGAACCATTCTGTCCCTGCATGGAATGACTCTTTATCAGTTTCAGTTAGAGAGCTGCTGCTCTGAGCGTCTGCTCCTCACACTTCAACAGATACACGGATAGCGTGGATCCGCAGGAGCGATCTTAGTCCTGCTGTGTGAGGAGAGCAGCTCTGAGGGGTCTGCTGTGTAAGCAAGGGTTAGAACCTGGTGCTCCTGAGCTCGCTGTCAGGGAGCTGTCTTCCCCAAAGGCCACGGTACTGTACCCTCACGGCCTATCCCCCGGGATCCCCATCCTACCAACTGGTTTTCTTTCCTATTTGAGCAGCTCTGGAAAAGGCTCTGGATCTCTCCCCTCTCCTCTTCCCTCTACATCCTTTTACTTGGGATTGAAAAGATTTTGTTTGTTCTTTTTTTTAAAAAAAAAAAAATCATCACTTGGAGTTTTGCTGTCAGATCTTTCAATGAAGCAAGAAAGACTTAGACATTACCTGGGGAATATAACCAAGGATATAAGCCATTCCTGGTTATTTATATAGATTGGTGGCCATTTTTTGTGAGGATTAAATTATGTGAGGTAGGAAATATAAATCTGGGTAAAAAAAATTTTCTTAGTCTGACTTTAAGGCCTTTATTTGTCTGTTAGGGGCCTTTTCTTTTCAAATTGTACATTAGATTGACAATATTTTTGATATGTGAGTGAATAGTCTCATTTTTCCTAGATTTATTTGTACATGCAAAATTGGGCAGACTGTGTACGGCACTGGTTCAGGCACCACCAAGCAGGAGGCGAAGCAGTTGGCTGCCAAAGAAGCGTATCAGAAGCTGTTAGAGAAAAGTGCAATGGTATGTGCTGTCCGTTAGAGTTAATGTGTACAATTATGATTCCCTTGAAAACTGACTTCAGGTTAATTTGTTTGCATACTGTGGGCGTTTGCCTATTGCAGAATGAATGTTTCCTCCATTCTGTGTACCAACAATGACCCATGCACCATGGGGCTATGAGGGCCTGGGACATAAAAGTTCTATGGCAACTCGGGATTGCTTTTAAAACTTAGCCCGAACATCCATGAAACATGTGCTAATTTTGTGATGATTGTGGACTTGGTAGCCATGGGGAGAGTATTGCAGCAGTATTTACCTAGTGATGGACCACCTGACAGAGGTCAGTTAGCTCCCTGTGAACATGCTAAGGGCTGTCTCTTCTTTCAGAAGTCTCTCAGAGCATCCTCTAGCGTTGTCCTGTCTTCCTTCAGCGATGTTTTCAGCAACTCGACTATAACAAGTAACTGGTGAGCTTGGGTAGCCAACGTGTTGAGGGGGCTGAGGGTCTGAGCCCTATCACCTCTCTCCCCACACTGAATTCATTAATGTTACTCTTTTCTTCTAGTGCTTCTCAGTCTGCACCTGGATGTGTCTCATCAGGGAACACATTTACGGTATGGTACCAGCCTTGAAGTTTTTGACTTTATTTTTTCTCTTCACTTAAATATGATCTACATCATCCATAAGTTTTACATTTCAATTTCATGTGTCCTTACTAAATTATGGTATTAACAGTCATTGACCCTTTCTGTTCTCTTTATTAATTTTCATTCATATTAATTTCTATTCTTCAAGTTCAAAATTCTTCACCATTCTCCCCCATCCTTTCCCTCCCACTTTGTAGTCTGTCCTTCCTCCCTTCCTTCTCTCTTTCTCTTCTTTCCCTCCCTCTTTTCTCTCCCTTGCTCCCCACTTTCTCCCTCCCTCTCTTCTTTCCTTCCCTCTCTCCCTCCCTCCCTCCCTCTCTCTTCCTCCCTCCCTTACTTCCTCCCTCCCTCTCTCCCTCCCCCTTCTTCTCTCCCTCTCTTCCTCTCCCCCATCCTTCCCTCCCCCGCCCCACTTCCTCCTTCCATCCTTCCCTGTGCTAGGATTCAAATTCTAGCTTCTGGTATCTAGCCAAGCTCTGCCACTGAGATCTCTCCCGGCCCTTACCCTTGTCTTTTTTTTTACCATTTCTATTCTCTTCTTTTTCCTTTTTCCAACTGAATAATATTTGGTGTAGTTCCACTCCTACTTAGAATCAGAACTAGACTTAAAAATCAGGCAATTTGTTATAAAAATCCATCCATTTACTAAGAACGACAAATCTGTAAGAGAAAGACAATGGACTCAGTAGAATAGATATGGTCTGCAAGGCTTTGCTACACCTAAGTGGCAGCAAATGGAAAAAGATGCTTTATTCCCCAGGGGTGAGGAAAGTGAAAGTCAGAACAGCCATTTGACAGCACGCCACAGCTGGTAGGCAGTATGCAAGTCTTGCAGTAAGTGTTGGTAGGAGACTCAGGGAACCGGCTGACATGTAGCAGCTTCAGGAACCTGGTCACAGGGCCAGCTCCCAAACTAAGATGATTGTTCTCCTCGTCTGAAACAGCTTCCTTTTCCTTTTTGTTGCAGAATGGTCTCAGTGAAAATAGAAGGAATTCAGGAATGTGAGTATCATTGTACACTGAACATATTTCAGGCGAGGAATCTCTTTCAGATTCCATCTATCAGATTCACCTATTGTCTGTGGTATTGACAGAGCATTATACATATGAATTTGGGTGATAGTTCAGAAGCAGTGGAAAGCTTGAAACCTATAAACCAGTTTAGCAGGAGAGAAGCATAGAAACACAGACACACAGACACACAGACACACACTCTCACACACACACACACACACACACACACACACACACTACTGTAGATACAAAGCCCTGCGATGGCTGATGTAGCAGGAGATAGACGTTTAGAGTGTTATTTTGAACAACACTATTGAAGATCTGGAGTTGGAAGTGTTTTTAAGGGAAGTGTTGTGGTTTTTGTTTTTTGATTTTTTTTTTTGGCAGATGGATGGGGTATAGATATGTAATAACTTGTTTTTTGAAGAACAAGTTTTATATAAATCATTAGGAATTGGTTTCTTTCACTGAAGAATAAAGACATATCATCAGAACTGAAGGCGAGGTGACAGCAGGACCCACAACAAGCCACCAATATTTTCTGAACACTACATATACAACTCCTGAGGTGGATGGATGCAGAGATGGGAACTTGCCACATGATCCAGCCCGCAGATCTGGTCCCTGTGGCAGGGAAGAGGGGAGAGGAGAATTTGTGGGAGAGAATGGGAGAGAAGGGTAGACATGACTTTGAGAAGACAGCGGCTGGGTGAGGGGAGGAGGAGAGGAGGAAGACTCCGGTCACTCCATCAGTCAAGACTCCTGGCCTGATGGAGTTCAGCAGGGTGAAGGCTTGAGGATGAAGAGACAGGGCGGCAGCATGGCTTTGTGTGGCTAATTTCAGGTGATGTTTGAACTGCAGATGGCTCCCCATCAGAGAGGCATGAGGGCCAGAGGGAAGGAACCAGGAGACCAACGTCCTAAGGACGTTCTAAGTCTGAAGAAAAAGGAGGTGTTAGCATGCCAGAGGCAAGCGTATTCAAGTGAAAGTGAGACACAGGAAAGGACAGGAGAGACTCAAAATGAAGTGTTTTTTCTGAAGAAGCTGAACACTCCCTTCCTGTCCCTCTGATGACTGATGTAACATATAAAACGGCCAGTGCATGGCACAGAGCCTGCTCTAAAGTTCTATAAAGTTCTATAGGTTACCGTTTTGTCTGAGTTTTTCATTTTTGTCTCAATTTTAGAAAAGTGTCAACTAATGATGTGCTGACAAATAAATATACCTTGGATGCCAGGTAAGCAGAGCCTGTCTAATGGTAAGCATGCCCATGAAACAGTTGCTTGGGGTCAAGTTATAAGTTGTATTCCACCCAAGTAATTAACCGCTGTGGCATAGTGCGGCCCATGGAGGGCTATGGTCTCTTGGAGAAGTAAGGTTTAGGAATCCAAGTGGAACGTGTCAAATGCAGATCTCTGTGATGTTAGCATAGTTTCTGATATCCACGGATGCTGTTAAAATTAAAAGCAAGTAGTACTTTATGTCAGTGATTTAGAAGAAAAAATAGAGAAAAGAAGGGATAGGGAGGAAGAAAGGTGTGGAGGGAGGAGAGACATGCCTGTAGGGATGGAAACAAGTGTGCTTGGACCTGTTTTCTAGCTTTGCACAAGATTTCATTTGGGAAAAAAAAAAAGGGAAATAATGGTTCAGTTAAAAATTAAATACCTGAGATGAAGGAAGCCCGTTTGAAGCAGCAGAACATTGCGTACAAATTCTGAATACTTATTGAGTGCCCAGTACTTACCTGCAACTGCTGTGGGCGTGTGACTTATGGTGAGAACAAATAGAATAGAATTCTTGCTCTGAAAAAAGTTTTGAGATGGCCATTGGCATCAAGGAAATACTTATATTTAAACACATCTGTATTTAGAGGCTGGGGAGATGGCTTAGCTGTGCCAACATGAGGGGCCTACGTTTGAATGCCAAGTGCCCCATGGTAGACAGGTGTAGCAGCACATGCGTCTATAAAACTCCAACAGTAGTAGGGGTGGACGGTGTATGGAGACAGGTGGATCCATGGCCAGCATAACCAGGCAGTGAGCTGCAAGTTCAATGAAAGATCCAGCCTCAAAAAGTAAAATGCATCACAGCCAAACATCAGACTGAGCACAGGGACCCCAATGGAGGAGTTAGGGGAAGGACTGAAGGAGCTGAAGGGACCTTATCCAGCATCAATGGGAGGGGAGGACCTTGGACCTGTGAAGGCTTAATGCCCCAGTGTAGGGGAATGCTACGGCGGTAAGGCCAGGTTGGGTAGGTGGGAGAGCACCCTCATAGAAGCAGAGAGACGGGAGATGGGATGGGGGTTTGCAGAGGGAAAACTGGGAAAGGGGATAAAATTTGAAATGTAAATAAATAAAATATCCAATTTAAAAAAATTATACAAAAAATCTTATAACAGAAAATAAAGTAAACTGCAAGGTAGGTGTGGTGATGCATACCTTCAATCCCAGCACGCAGGAGGCAGAGGCAAGCAGATCTCTGAGTTCAAGGCCAGCCTGAACTACAGAGAGAGTTCCAGGACAGCCAGGACTACACAGAAAATCCCAGTCTCAAAAACGAAAACAAAACAAAATTTAAAAGGTGGAGAGTAACTTAAGAAGGCCTCTGTCATCAATCTCTGACTTACACACATGCACATGCACTGACGGACACACACATACCATACAGGAACACACACATACATGATACACACACAACCCATACACACACACACGCATGCACACACATACATACTTGTGTATCTGTAGTTACATAATCTGTATTCACATATTTATATGACACACATACACTGTAATTACAAAATATGGCCAGAGTTAAAGAAGAACAGTATGGTAAGAAATGGAATGAAAGCCCTAAGGTCACCTTTCTGTGGAGAAATCGTGTGCTTGAAGTGTAACGAAAAGATAACAGTGTGGTGGGATGAAGATGGAGAAAGAACTGGGGACGTGCTATGTGGCACTTTATGGGGTATTTAAGGGTTTCCTGGTTTTTGCTGAATACAAAGGTGAGGTTTGTAGAAGGTTTAGGGGAGAGGGAGACACTATCAGACTAAGTTTTCACAGCTAAAGTAGGGCAGGAGAAGTTGAGTATCAGTCAGCAAGCCACCACTGCAGAAGCCTGGTGGCTGAGCTGGAGTAAAGATGCTAGAAGTGAAGAAAGATGGTCAGCAGATGGAAGTGCTGAGGGCTAGAAGAACTAGCAGGGCTGAAGGATAGAATGTGGAAGAAGAGGAGGGAAAGAAACAGGTTGTTACAGGTAACCTTGGGCTTCTGCTTTCTCTGTGGTATTTGTGGCACACAACTGAGTGATTCTTTTTGACTTTAATACTTGTTGGGGGGGCGGGGCATCATTTCTTCTTTGTAGCCGCTGGAGAAGGATGCTTCAGCATGCCTAGCGTACAGCCAGAGGGGTGATCTGTTATACTGAATTCTCTATTTAGTAAGGGAAGCAAAGAGAAGGAGAAAGAGGAAGGTGTTTTCTGTGACTCAGGAGTTCTACCAGATTTTATTAAAAACAAGAAGGGAGCCGGGCAGTGGTGGCGCACGCCTTTAATCCCAGCACTTGGGAGACAGAGGCAGGCGGATTTCTGAGTTCGAGGCCAGCCTGGTCTACAGAGTGAGTTCCAGGACAGCCAGAGATACACAGAGAAACCCTGTCTCGAAAAAACAAAAACAATAACAAACAAACAAAAACAAACAAACAAAAAAAAACAAGAAGGAAAGAATCATTTTCATTTTACATGAAACACTAAACCTCAGAGTAACAGCCATATCAATCTTGTCTAGGTTTAACAGCGATTTTGAAGACATAGAAGAAATTGGCTCAGGTGGATTTGGCCAAGTGTTCAAAGCAAAACACAGAATCGATGGAAAGATGTATGCTATTAAGCGTGTTAAATATAACACCAAGTAAGTACCTGTCTGGTTCTTTTGAACACAGTGTGTTGAACTCCCAACTCTTGTCTTTATGTATCTGTCCTTCATTGCTTGCTGATTTCTTTCTGGTCCTCCTTATTTTTTTTTTCCTGACTACAGGGGTTTGGTTTATCCTGAAATGACTTTATTTATTTAGTGGGTATTTATTTCAGTTTAAAAATATTGTTGTATCATTTTGAGACAGTGCTGAGACCTGAAGTTGTTGACTTATTTTGTATAAGGTGGTTTCCTCAATTTTCACTGTTTTGAGGCTCCTTCCTCTCTGATGTCTCAAGCTTGTATCACATTGACATAATACCAGCTCAGGCTGGTTTCCAGGAAATAGCACAGTGTCCTTGCTCGTGAGCCCGATCCTTGTAAAGCTTTCATTGTACCGAGTCTTGGTGTCTTTGCATAAACTAGTCCCTTGATTTATCTTTGTCACACATGGAAAATTCTAAGTTAGGTTCTACTTGCTGTTTGGGTTGCCTATCCTTGCTGTCCAAATGGGACTCGTTCGTGAATTCCAAAGATTTTAACACATCTTCTAAACAGAATATCAACTATGATGTAGCTATTGAAAACTGTTATAGACGTCAAAAGAAGATACAAATGATGTCTACCATTTGAATGTCTATCATTTAAGCCACTGTCTTTTTCTTTTACATTGTGAATGAGAATGGCTATCATTTCGGATATGTTTTTTTCTACGCATTCAGTTTTCTTCCCTTTTGAGTTCTGACTTTCATGCTAAAACCTGGCACGGGAACCACAATGACTACAGAGAGAAGAGCCTGGGCGGTTGCTTCTCATTACGTAAGGTGTTCTATAGCCATCAGGGGTATGTAACAGGTTTGTTTTCTGGGTCCTTTTAAATAGGAAGGCGGAGCGCGAAGTACAAGCCCTGGCGGAACTCAATCACGTCAACATTGTTCAATACCGTATTTGTTGGGAGGGAGAGGACTATGATCCCGAGCAGAGCATCAGCGATACAAGTCGGTAAGAAGAAACTCCCAAGGCTGCGATGGGACAGAAGGCACTGGGCATTTATTGTGTGGGGGCCACTAGAAAAGGCTGTTGCTCGTCACAGTTAATGATCAGAACAGCCTTCAAAAGACACTGTGATCTCCTGTTCTACAGACACGGAGACAATCAATAATCTTTCCCTGTTCCTCTCCATCTTCCAAGCTTGCTTTTAGTTTCTTTTCTTTAGACTCACTATATACCCCAGGTTGGCCTCAGGGATGGCCTCCTGCCTCAACTTCCCAAGTACTGGGAATCACAGGCACATTCCGGTATGCTGAGCTCAAACTTGCCTTAAAGGTATTTTTAATGGGATGGAGAGATGGATCAGTAGTCAAGAGCCTGGATTGCTTTTGCAAGTATGTCAGGTGGCTCACAACCGCCTGTAATTCCAATTCCAGGGTATCCTCTGACTACTGTGGGTCCCAGCATTCATGTACACATACTCACACAAAGACAAAGACGTATCATTTGAAAATAGATATTTTTTTTAAAAAAACTTTAAAATTTCCCTTAGCTCTTTTTAAGATCTCACGTTCTGCATTTCTGATCCCCTTGTTTTTCATATAGCTAGTGCTATAGTTGATAAGAGTAAAGACTGATTTAAGACAACAATCAATTTATTGGTGCATCTGTAGGCATTTCTAAATGGGCTGTCATCTTTGGCTTGGTTTTTGTTTTTGTGTTTGTTTTTGTTTTTTCTTCTACCTCTTGTAGACTCTAATCCCCTTGATGATACAGAAAGTACCTAACTCACTTTTTAAGTGTTCTGTGCCCTTTGTAAAACAAATGTTCACTTAACTTAACTGATGACAAATTAAAATGCTTCAAACTTACTTTATATAACAGTGAAAAAAAACTAGATTTCTGAACTTAATACTACTTATATCTATTATCAAAATTGATCAAAGACCTTCAGCATTAAAGAATATATATGCTCCTACTTTATAAACAATTGAAGCTCTGGACACTTGAGAAATTATGACTTATATAAAGCGGTTTGTTTTATTTCAAGTTTATTATATTCAGATTTTTATCCCGAAACACGCTTTGGGTTTCATAAGATATGGTAGAACTTTTAAAAATGAATTTATCTTTGTTGCTACTTTTAATGTACTGTGAATTTTGTATCCAGATACAAGACCCGGTGCCTCTTTATTCAAATGGAATTCTGTGATAAAGGAACTCTGGAGCAGTGGATGGAAACCAGAAGCCGGAGCAAAGTGGACAAAGCTTTGCATTTGGAGTTATTTGAACAAATAGTGACAGGAGTGGATTATATACATTCGAAAGGCTTAATTCACAGAGATCTTAAGGTAAGCAGGAACTTTACCTTGTTGGTTGATAAACAAACACACAGTTTAATAACTTTAAAAATTATCTTCTTTAGTTTTAGATTTGTGATTGGCAGTTAGTCATGATAAAATTATATCTCTCTAATTTGCTGGATTTAAAGTGGGTCTTGAACTTACCCAAATGCCGTCGAATGTAACTGCTTGGCAGGTCTCTGGGGCCCATGGACTTATTGTGACAATGATCCTATTAGAAGTCTTGTTCCTTTTAGGCTGTGTTTAGCTTGGCAGTCATTGCCTCCTTGAAAGCCACAACGGTTTTCATATTCTGAAAAATTATTGTGGTTGCAAGGTTCAGCTGGCTGCCCTGATCCAGCCGCTGCTGCAGCTCTGCTTGGCTCTGCTGTGGTTCAGCGGTCGCACCCGAGGGCAGGCACAGCTAAAGAGTCCACAGCTTAGTGCTGGCTTGATTGGGATTTTCTGCCCCAGGAAAACATCCAAGCTTTAAAATATGCATCATCCCTTAGCATGTTTGCTTTCATGGTCTGGACCACTAGGTTCCTCAGTTTCCTTTTCACTAGCAAGAAAGAAGAGGCGCCAAACAGCTCCGTGATAGCCTTCTTTATCACAAACCTACTGTCTTAGTCAGGGTTTGTATTCCTGCACAAACATCATGGCCAAGAAGCAAGTTGGGGAGAAAAGAGTTTATTCAGCTTACACTTCCACATTGCTGTTCATCACCAAAGAAAGACAGGACAGGAACTCACACAGGGCAGGAACTTGGAGGCAGAAGCTGACGCAGAGCCCATGGAGGAGTGCTGCTTATTGGCTTGCTTCCCTTCCTTCCTTCCTTCCTTCCTTCCTTCCTTCCTTCCTTCCTTCCTTCCTTCCTTCCTTCCTTCCTTCTTA